TGGCCCATGGCAACCCACCGCCACAGGGGCTGCAGCCTACGCAGTCGCCTGCAACTCACGGCAGCCCAGCTCCAGGTTGAGCTGTTGTTCAGCATCTTAGGTGTAGAGGGCAGTGTCACTGGCCCTCATATGTGGGATCCGAACCAGGGCCCTCTGGTGTCCCAAGCCAGTTCTTAACCAACGCGCCACTTGGCTGGCTCTCAATTTCAACTCTTAACTGTTTCTTCTATTATTTCCCTCTGTGTGTCTAAATTAAAGGCTTTTATAGCTGTTTGTTTATTCTTACTGTTATAGTCTTCATCTGTTGGTGCCCCCCTGTGGAAGGTGGTCATTTTGTTTCTAACATCCCACTGCTCCCCTTACATACTTCCCCCCAATATAGTTCAGCCATTATTCAGTATTTATATTTTTATGACTATAAATATTCACAGCTAAGCCACTTCGTATATGGAGATTACTTTTCTTGCACTACTTTCTTTCTTGGAGTTAATTTTTTTTTGTTCAATTCACCCCAATCAATCCAAAAGAACCATGAAAGTATACCTCTTAGTGTAAAAAGATTACCTCTTAGTGTAATCTGAAACACAGGATAGTAGATCTGTAACATTCTCCCCCAAACCTTTCCCCACCCCATCCCTCACTTCAGAAATACTTTCCATAAATCCTCTTTGCAACCTTCTCTGTTTGGGGACCTACACATTTGGCTGGTAGCATCCTCGGATCTGGTTAGGAGTAGGGGGAGGGGACTGGGGCTCTCATCCCTGAATAAGCCTTTTCTCTTTGTCCCTGTGTCCAGCTATGCCTGCTGTCCCTGAGTCTACAGTGCCTCTGGTTCAGCTCCTGGGAGCAAAAGCCCAGGCTTCTGGGATTTAGGAAGGCTGTCTGTGAGCTCAGGAGGGTCTAACTTCTTGGACAGAATTAGCACGTTCTCCTATTTCAGTGCCACCAGCACTTTAGCTTTCAGAGACCCCAGTGCCCTTTAATTTTTGAGTCTTTCAAGGTTCGGTGGCTGACTGGGCGTGCTGCTAATTGGGATCCTCCCCGTTGCTTACTGTATGTACACTGGTTATTACCACCTGCACTTATGCTTTTTATCTTGTTAATGGCTTTTATTTGTTTTCATCTGTTCACATGTTCTTGATCCTTGTGAGTTGATTCCTGTTTTGTTCTTTACTGTCATCTTAATAGGGAAAGTGAGTGCAACTAAGCCTGTGTTTAATAAAAGTATAACTGGAACTGGTGTTTTTAAAAAATGCTTGCCAACTTTAAAGAATTAAAGACATGTTAATGTAAGATGTTGCCATTGGGAGAACTAGGTGAAAGGGCCATTTCATATTATAACTGCATGCGAATCGACAATGATCTCAAAAACTTTAATTACAAAAGTGGTTTAAGGCCACTGACATTACATAAGTATGCCTTTTCAATGTATAGCATTTCCTTTAAGAATTTACTTGTATGTTAGTATAATTGTAGGTTTGTTTGTTTTTTGGTAATCTCTTTTCTACATTTTCACTAAAGTTTTTCATTGCTACATTGTATATTATGTTGATGTGCTATAATTCATGACACATTTTCACAATTCTTTTAATCTTTTAGTGCGTATAGTACAAGGTATTGACCAACTACTTTTGGCCAGCAATGAATGAGTATGCCAGATTCACTGGAGTATCACCAGCAATGTGTGCTATTAGGACTTTTTTTTTTTTTTTTTTAGCAATTTTGGTAGATAGAAAATGGAATACTAACAGGGGTTTTAATTTGTGTTTTTTTCTTGATACCTTTTTCTAGACCATTTCAGTATTTGTTAATCATGGCCTGCTAAAGACTTCTGTTTTGAGACCTGCCCTCATTTTTTTTCACTCTGCAGTTTATTAATCAGTTACTTGGAGTTGTTCCTTTGTCAACACCAACAGAGGATAAACTGGCACTACCTGCTGACATCAGAGCCCTGCAGCAACATTTGTGTGTGGTGCAGCTGACGAGGTTACTGGGCTTGTACCACTCAATGGATAAAAATCAGAAATTAAGTGTGGTCAGAGAATTGATGATAAGGTACCAGCATGGACTGGAATTTGGTGAGCAACCTTTCAAAATGTCGTTCTCTGATCTGCTAAGACTTAGAAGTCAGTTTTTTGTTTTTGTTTTTGTTTTTTAATCACTTACAGCACCCTGTTTTAATGAGTTTGGCAAGGAGAATATTTTGTCAAGTGGGAACACAAGCCAAGTAGTGAAATGCAAAGCCTTTCCCATTTCTTTTTTAAAAATTTAGGTGTAGTTGGCATACAATATTAAACTTGGAGTTTTAAATAATTATAGTTGGCTTCCAGCTGTTCATATTCTTCCCGATCTGGTGAGCTAGCTCTTGATTACATGGGGGCTCATATGAATTGTATAGTCTGTGATAATTGTCATATTTTCTGATTATAGGCCTTAATATTAATGACATATACACTATGTAAATGACCAAAAGGAGTATTGTATATGGTGAAATAAGTATTTTGTTTAGAAATCAATGATCTTCAGATTGCTAGATATATGTGATAAAATATACATTATCTGATTAGATGATATCAGTATTTTTCTAACTGTATGCTAAACAATTAGGTGAAGTAATGAGCTATTACTTCAGTTATACATGGCCCTTGGCTTCTGTTCTTTTTTTCACCTAAAACTTCCTTCCAAATTTTGCTGCTTTTCCTTTGGGACCATTTCAGATACCACTTCTATTTGGAACCCTTCTGCCCCAGCTGAGTCTGGTCTCACCTTTTGAATCCTTTGATTCATGACTTATATTTTTCTCCTGGTATTTACCCTATTTTTATTATTTTCATTTCTTCTCTCTTTCTCCCTCCTATCACTTTCCTGCTGGAAAACTTCTCTGGGGCAGTAATAGTTAAACAAATGTTAAAATACAGATATGATTTTTTTTTCCCTTATAGGGAAATCCTGTTTGAAAACCGAATTGCAGTTTTCAGACTATTACTGTCTCCTTGCTGTCCATGTGCTTATTGATATATGGAGAGAAACAGGTAAGGAGCAGTAATTTCAGTTTAACTTTACTTTCTCTTTTTATTCGCTATACATCCTTAGACTAATTTTATAATCCAAGAATTTGATTTATGCTTTTAGGTTTTTTTCTTCCTTACCCTTCTCCAGGGTGCTTCTAGAAGAACCCAAGTCTCCAAGTATCCTCCCTACCCCCTGTAATCAGGAAAATCTTAAATCAGTGGATATCTGTTCTGTTTTTAAACATTCCCGAATACTGAGTAATGATGGTAAACAACCTATTATAAAGTTATAATAATTAAAATATAGAGAAACTGATTCACAGATAGATGTATAGGCCCGTGGAATGGAATAGCCCTTTTATTCACTTAAAACATTTATGTACAGGAAAATGACCTCTTTTTGGAATGCAGTTCTAATTAGCCCATTTAAGACAAAAATATAATGTACAATAAAGGAAGCATCATGAATCATTGAGCAAGAGAAGGATTATTCAGCCGATGGCACTGAGATGGCCTTTTCTTTAGGTCACCCCCTGACATTTATTAACAGTTTTTTGGAAAAAAATAACTTTAGGTACTTATTGCATATTATTCACTGGAATAAACTACTGGAATTAATAAAGGGCTGGGGAGAGTGTGCAAGATAGACACAACCCCTGTCCTCGTGGGTCATTTCACAGAGCACTCAGTTTTGATACTGTCATCCTCGACTTTTCAAGGATAGAATACTATGCTCTTTATAACCTAGCCTCTGCCTGCGTCTTTCAGATTCTTATGTACTTACAGTCCTGAATCTTTTTTTTTTTTTCTACTCTCACTGAACATCATGTTGCCTCTGTTTGAAGTAACTTTCTTACCTCTTTCATCTAACTTTTACTCAAACAGTGCCTCGACAAGTGTGTCTTGATTCCATCCCCTCCCGCGGATTTTATGCCCCTTCTGAACTTTTGTAGAACATTGTATGTACCCACATGATAGTACTTGTTACACTGTGTCGTATTGGGGATGGAGGTGAAATCTTTTTTACCAGAGTATTTACTATCTGAGCCCCAGATTCATGAGATTGCATAGGGTTGTAAAAGTCACCCTAATGTAAAAACCATTAATGAACTACCTACCTAGCAATTTGGTCCCTACTCAGATACCCTTCCTTCCTCACTTTTCCCTAACATCCATTCTTGCTCATAGTGACAATGGCTTTGTTAATCTCTAGTTTTTTTGAGCAAGATATCTGACCATCTAATAATAACAGTTGGTCATCAGGCAGTTGAAAGTGCTACACATGAATTAGCTAACTTAACCTCATAACAATGTAGTTAAGATTTATAGTTTTACAGAGGAGGGGAATGCAGGATAGAGAGAAAGAAGTTAGGCAAGTTGTCTAAAATTATACAGTGCACATTACACAGGAAATTGCAGGTATTATAAAGATGCAAATTTTCTTCAAGTCAGTGAAAGTAATGTTGAAGTGCTCCAATCATAGGCATTGTCATTGTTCAAGATGGATCTGGCAAAAATTAGAAATTTAGAGAAAATTGGTGAGGATGTTGAAAGAGACTGATTTGAATAGGAAAGGATTAAGAAGATGCTTTAGGAAATTGATGATGCTCTCAAATATGTTTGCAAAAAAGTATTTCTTTATGGTTATGCTGCAAAAGTAAAATGAAATGAAAGATGCCTTTTTTTCCTCTCCAGTTTTATGTTATAATTGACATATTGCACTGTATTCGTTTAAGGTATACAACATAACGATTTGATATATGTATCTATTGGGAAATGATTACTACAGTAAGTTTAGTTGCCTATCACTACATATAGCTATAAAATTTTTCCTTGTGATAAGAACTATTAAGATCTATTCTCTTAGCACCTTTCAAATATACAATACAGCATTGTTTACTATAGTTACCATGTTGTATATTCCCAGAACTTATTTATCTTGTATCATTTGTTATATTACAAAATGTAGTTAGAAAAAAATTTGCCCCAAAAAACTTCATCAGCCTTTGATGATCTTTTGATTTGATGAAGAATTTGTGTAGAGTCGTGGTTATAGCCTAAATTTTGCAAAATAAAGTAAAAATGATAAATCTTCATAATATTTGGTGTAATAGTCCAGAAAGAAGTATAAGTTAAACTCTTTTTTTTTTTTGCTATTTATTTTGAAATTTTGTTTCCATTTTCAAGAGATCTTTAAGAAAGTTTGTTTTCTTTTTCCCTGATACAAGTTATCCTTGATTAACCAGGACTTCTTAAAATTATCTATTCTCCATGTTGTTCAACTGTCTCTTCTATGCAGTTCTGAGCTTCTTGAGGCCAGGAACCACCTGTGACTCTTACCCCTGGGACTTATGTCTAGTGTTGCACAAGTTTAGGTTAATGAGTATTGAGTTAAATAAAACTGTGGTTGTAAACACCAGGTAGCAACATGGGAAAACACTTAAAAGGACAGAGCACAATATTGGATGTATGCTATGATTACTACTGTGTAAAAGTAATTATAGTTCAAAAATAATACATTAAAATCCTAATGGTAGTTTAAGTAGATTTTGGGTAGTTGGGATAATTTGGGTAGGATTATGGATGATATTTATTTATCTAAAGCTCCAATTTTTGGTTATCTTGTTTCTTTTCTCTTGGAAAAATGCATATAGAATATAATTTATTTTCTCGATATTAAAAACTCTTCCTTAATGTCAAATGTCTGTATGATGTTTCTTTGTGTGGGTGTTACTGTAATTTACTTAATAATCTCCCCATTATTAGTAAAATGAATATTTTTACACATAAAACTTTATTTGCATTTCATGTCATTTTCTTTAGATTCATAAAAGAGAAGTTAATACTCTATAAGACTTGATACATGTGACCTTTTGAGTTTTGGTAGGCCAAAAAAAGTATTATGTTTTGATGATTAATGAGCAATTTTTTTCAAATATTGTTTGACATCCTATTAGTAGAGTTACATATGGAAGAAAAATGATGTCTAGAGAAAGCGTCTGCCTGGGGTCTTGTAGAGAAAATCCTGTACTGGGAAGGTTGGTGGACTCTAGCTCTCTTTCAAAGTTCATCTCTTCTTGGAATCTGAGATGCTTTGAGATTCTGTAACTTCTCTCCACAAGACCTGGCAGTTTAAAGTTTGCATCATTTTTGCAGATGCATGTTTAAGAATTGAGGTAACTATTAAGAGACTGTTTATTCAGGGAAATTCCCTGTTTTGCTTACAGGTATGTTTCTAAAATTTGTTCTCTGCTACCTAAACTCATTCTTAGAATAGTCAGGGGAGGTATGATGTGAGTAAGTTTTTGCTCTTTTCTTTTTGAGAAACCTCCATTTGCTCTCAAGATCTGTGGATGATGCTGTTCTGTTTTGGTTCTAGGTGACGAATCTGCTGTTTGGCAGGCCCTGACTTTGCTGGAAGAGGGATTAACCCACAGCCCTTCCAATGCTCAATTCAAATTGCTGCTTGTTCGAATCTACTGTATGCTGGGGGCCTTTGAACCAGTGGTGGATTTATACTCCAGCCTCGATGCTAAGCACATCCAGCACGACACCATTGGGTTGGTAGTATACACTCTGAATAATGAGCCGCCGGCTGCAGCTGGGTGGGCCCTGACATCTGCAACTAGAGCTTTCCAATTTTAGCTGGAAAGTTGTTCCTGGTATTAAACCTTTTAGATGAAATACTCACCTATTATGACCCATTGCAAAGTAGAAAAAGTTTTATATCTCCCAGCATTTTGTGGTAATTTAAATTTTGCGTTTAGAAATGGTAAGGAAGCTTTTGTTGGAGACAGGAAACAGCTCTACACTTCGAACCCTTTTTCTTAGCACAGTGCGTTTTGAAGTCTTTACTTCTGCCTTACAGTTGAGGTTGACACATGTGCTTTATTTGTTGACCTCAGAGATCCTTTTAATTTGTATTGTGACTATTGTTTGTGATCAGTGTGTATTGTGACTATTCTTTGTGATTTACTGTATCCCTTGTAGAGCTGTTTTAGGAAGATAGCATTCTGTTCTCTTACAACTTGTGTTCCATTAATCATCCAAGTATCAGGGTGGTGAACACACAATGCATGCAGTATATAGATGATGTATTATAGAAATGTACACTTGAAACCTATAGAATTTTACTAACAAATGTCACCCCAGTAAGTTTAATTACAAAAAACAAAAAACTTTAGGTCTCCCACAAAACTGAATTAACTTTGATTTTTTTTTTCCCTTGAAATTTGATTCTGTGACTTAGATCATTTCTGTGGCAGGATGTTTTAACTTTTCTATATGCCTGGCTATTTCTCTGCCATAGTAATTTGAAGTGTAGTATATGATACTAGAAGTGGGTAAGTATAACATGTTTTTTTTCTTTTCTTTTCTTCTGACCTAGTTACCTTTTGACCCGATACGCTGAGTCCCTAGGTCAGTATGCTGCTGCATCCCAATCCTGTAACTTCGCTCTCAGGTTTTTCCACTCCAACCAGAAAGATGTAAGTGAAAACACTTTTTTTAATATGGTCTTGCCTGCTGAATGCACGTGATTAAGAGAGCATCCTCCCCCGTGTCACACGCGCACACATTAAGGTGTACCATGCTGTACATGCACGTGCCCTTGGGCCATAGCTTACTGGCCAGGGATGTTAGGCAGAGACGAAGAGTTATTTGTGGTTGTTAGAATGGGCATGTCCAATAGAATCCATGCAAAGGTGAATTTACAACTGGGTGTTAACAGAATAGGGTTGCCTCTTAGATCTTTTACTCTCTAAGAGACGTTTTCCAAGGGAAAATAGCCCATAAGAGTTTGTAGCTTGGGGTACCATATGAGATTCTGCAATAGCAGCTACTCTCTGTTACCTTGATTTATTTCTGAAGTATGTAACCGCTGTGTTCTTTGCCAACAGTAAGCACATATATATTTTCTTAGGAGTATAAAATTGATCGATTGAAAGACATTTCAAGAAACTTTGGCCAGTAGCATTTTTAAAAAAAAAAAACTATAATAGCAATAAATAAAAGAGAGCTTCTATGTGCCATAATGAAAGGATGGGATTTGCACCATATTTTTCATTGCAAACAAACTTGGTCTCCAGTTGTCAGTTAAGCAGAAGGTTTTGTGGAAGAACTGTATATATGGTCTCTATTCGGTCCACCAGCTTTGCAGAACCGCCCAGGAACGTATGTAAAAGATAAGGTGTGTCTTTAGGATGGTTGCTGCCTACTTGGTTCCCATGTGCTTCTAAGACTTATCGTCTGGAACAGGGCCATACCAGATACCTGCCCATAGCTTTCATTTTCATGGTCTAACAGCAGCTAAGGAACTTGGAAAGGAAGCTGGTTTCTGGGGTTCTTCTTGGCAAATACTCGTGAGGATTAAAAAAAACAAAGCCTTTTGTAACTGTAATACCTATGGCAAATCTGTCTTCCATCTAATTCTTGGAGATGTATTAAATAGAAGGCAGGGGCAGGGCAAACGCATTTCTGGACACAGAGTATAGGTTTATTATTCTCAGCTTGTGATAATTATGCCCTGACAAGTTTCAGGGCATGGCCTAGAGGGCTCGTATAGCAGGAAGTGGTTAGCTGTGCTGCATCCATTGGCTTTTAAGCACCCCTGCGCCCCCGCCACCCCCCGGCCCCTCCTTCATGGCTTCTCTCCCCCACAGTGATTGGTATCTCTGTTCAGACCTCATTTTGTGCCATAGCTCCTGATCAGGGAGAGAAGGAAAATGGGCATCAGCGTTTGAACATACTGCTTAGAAGGTGCTGGCCTGCCTTAGAGGTCAGAGGGCACTTCTAGGACCTTGAGTCTCTAAAATCTCTTAGCACGAGTGGACAGTTGAGTTGTAAATCTGAGTTTTCACTGTGTGTTCAAGTATCTGTGCTTGCCCTTCTCCATCTAGAAGGAGCTTCACTAACTCAAAAAAAAAAGAATCAAAAGAAAAGTGTTCCTTAAATCTCATTATTCTGGCTCTCATTTCTATATTTCTAAGGAAGAGGTTAAAGAAACATTTGATGTACTGATGAATTCTTTTCAAAGTTTGGTTTCTCAGATAGCTTCGAGGTGGGAGTGTGGGGGTAATAAGTAAGGGATGAGGCCAGGCCTGGTGGCTGGTTTTACTTGTTTCCAATCATCCAGCGTTCTTAGAAGAACCATAGTGTTCATGATTTGGCCAAGGAAGGCACATTATTTTTTACTACTAAAAGTTAAGCTTTATTTTTATTTTCCCACAAATATTGTATCTGGAGAATTGTTTTGTTTTGTTTTGTTTTTAAGCTGAGCCATCCTGCCACCTGTTGGCAGCTTAGTGGCAGTTCAGCTTGGGCTGAGAATTGAACCAGCAACTCTGTTGCTCAGAGCTCACACTCTTGAGCGAGCTCTTAACCAACTGAGCCACTGGGCCGGCCCTGGAGAATTGTTTGAAAACAAAATGTGTAGCTGCACACACACCCAAAACAGCTGAAAGTATCATAATTGGGAAAGGAGAGCCCCAGGAGCAATTTGAGAGGGCATGTTGTCCTCAGTGGCTTTTTATACCTTTGTCTGATGTTTTGCTGATGATTATGTATGTGGCAGGAGTGGTAATTCGCCTAAAGTCTGTGGTGCTGATTCTGATAAAATTAGAGTATTTTATTGATGTGGAACTAGGACTCTCTGCTTGAAATTTATTTTTATTACTACTAACTAAGAAGACAGAGCTTATTTAATCTTTGGGGGGGTTTCTGGAGGCTGAAGCAAAACAATCCAGCGAGGAAAATGCACCTTAAACCTTAGTAGCTGGTCTGAGTCCCAGAATATGATAGGAAAATGAAGACCATGGTGTGGACTGTCGTTTCCTATAGGAATTTGAGGCTAAGAAAGATCACGGTTGTACTGTTGTACTGTATGTGTTAAACCATCTGATAGTATTAGAAATATCTCTTGGATCTAAAACTCTACGCTCTACATCTTTTATTCTTGGTAGTTTGGGGACCCCCCTCCCCACCCTGCCCTGGTGGTTTTTCCTTGAGTGACTGATGTATTTCAATTCCCAAGTAGCTCTTTTACTCCTAAGTGGAAAATCCAGTGTTCTGCTTTGTAATGCGTTGTGCTGTGGAATTGAAAGTTAAATTTGGAGGATCTGCACAGGAGTTTTCTTTCTGGAAAGGTCATTTTCTGCTGTCATCATTACTTTGGAATAGATTTTTACAATATGAGAATTAGAGCTATTATAGATTTTTATATCTCCAAAACTTGCTTATATATTTCCACTTAAAAAAATTTTCCCTTTAAAAGTCTATTTTAGGTATTCATGAAAGTCATTATTCAGGGTTTTGATATCCATATATTTTGCTGATTTTTACAGTGACCAGGGTTCATTTCAGGAATCCAAATGGGATCTAAATAGCTTCATTGGTTTATAAATGAGTAGAAATAGGTACGGGCAACATCGTCTTATATTCAAAATCTTAAAGTGCCCGTGGCTTCCAGTTTTGCCTGCAGTTCCAGTAGGGGGTGTTTCTTCCCATCGTAGTCCTTTCTCAGCCTTTGTGCTGTTGGTAGCTGCCAAGGCCCTTTCCTAGCTCTGCAGTGATAGTTTACTGCAGCATTAAAGGAGGACTATCTTAGAAAGAGCAACCAGACAACTACATTTACCTTCTTAGTTTGTTAAATGATTATGTCCCCTCTTTGTTGCCCTGATTTTTCTCTTTTAAAGTGGACCACTCAGAAATGAAAACTGCCTCCACCCTCGGTAAAGCTGGGTTCCTTCCTTTAATCAGCGTATTTCGGAACTGTAATTCATAGATTTGATTGGAATCACCAAAGTCCTATTTTTATCCGGATTAATTACTGGATCGTATGTTCTAACCAGCCAGTTTTTTCAATCTGTAAGTTTCATTGCAAGGGCTGATGGTAAACCTTGCTATATCCTCCAAGCCAAGAGGCCATCGGATAGACATACGAGTGTTTTAGAGTATCTTGGCCTCTTCTTGCTGGGGCTATCACTGTCCTTTAATCAGGCTAGAAGGTACACTTGAGCTTTTTCAGATAGTCCTTCTTTAAACCTGCAGGATCACAAGTAATCTTTTTAATTTTCTTGTGTCCGTCCGTCTTTAATTTCTCCAGATACTGCAGGCAAACAGCTCGCCGAGGTGTCCCATGGGGGTTTAAAAGCCGCATCGAATGCAGTTGAATTAGCGCCCGTGGCGCAACCCCGCGGCCTGAAATGAACCCTGCGAGGCTGTGTATCAGAGGGTATGTTGTTAACTATTGGCCTATTTTCCTACTGGGCAAATTATTCCGACGTTTCGGAGATGGGGGCAGAGCTGAGGCTATGCGAAAGGACTGGCTTTTCTAGAAAGGATCTTTGGGGCAGACATCAGCTTTGAGCTTAACACTTTCCTTGGCCCAAAAGGGTGCCCTTCTGACTTCTGGTCCTGATGGCATAGGCCCACCCATGAAACGTTCTTCCCTGAGATTGTCTTTTATTGTGCCAGAATTTTTGTTCAGAACTCTTTATCTTGCCTCTGTTCCCAGTGTTTCATCTGTATATGTGTATCAATCTAAAATTCAAGCACACTTGGTGAGAGTTGCTTTGATTTACTGGTTTATGGAATTTTCCAGCAGAAGTCCTATGTAGTTTGGATGCACACGTGACCTGGTTCTTCCAGTCTTTCTGTCCTCAGGATGGATTATGACATGAATTTTTATAGGTCTTTTGTTTGGCGCCTGATTTCTATCCTGCTGTACTGCACATATGCCCTATGTTTGTGATACAGTATTCAGAAATAAACAAAACCAAGGAGCAGCCTTTTCTCTGCAGCAGAGTGATTTTTTTATTTGGGGTGGTGGTAGGGTGGTTATATTGTTCTGGTGTTTTTGGAACCTTTGTATACAGCAGTGTATCTTAGATGCAGAAAAACATGGAGTAACATCCCTTCCACAATGGCACTAACCAAATTTTTGACTGATGTGGTATAACAAAACCTCCAGTCCTGTTGAATTGAAAGACATAACTGCTAAGAGAAAGTGTGTGTGGTGGTAGCAGCAGCTGGGTATTATTTTTATTTATTTATTTATTTTAGCTGAACAGGCAGTTCAGCGGCAGCTCAGCTCGGGCCGGGAATCAAACCGGCGACCCTGTTGCTCAGAGCTCGCACTCTTGAGCAAGCTCTTAACCAACTGAGCCACTCAGCTGACCCCAGCAGCTGGGTATTATTAGTAATAATATTAGTAAAGAAGACATTTGACTCTGGTATAGGAAAGAAGAAAAATAAACTTCTAAAGCTGATATTCTACTTGGCGACCAAGGCCTATAAAGATTAAATTCAATATCTTACTTAATTTTAGTTGAAGTGTTTTGTTTTGTTTTGTTTTGGCTGGCAAGGTTTGCCTTCATTGTCTGACCTGTGAAATATTTATACCAAGGTAATGTCTTTCCTTCCCAGACCTCAGAATATATTATTCAAGCTTACAAATATGGTGCATTTGAGAAGATCCCAGAATTTATCGCTTTTAGGAACAGGCTGAATAATTCTCTTCATTTTGCACAAGTCCGTACTGAAAGGATGTTGTTAGACCTTCTACTTGAAGCAAATATGTAAGTATTGCTCAAGAGCTAAAAAGGAACTCAAAGGGATGAGATCAGATGCTAAGAGCCTTTAATGGACTCATGGGTGACACTAGCGGGATTAACCTAGGGAAAAATGAGAAAAAAAAAGAGAAAATAGGGGGTGGGGGAGCAGGGGAAGTGCAGGGAAGAAGGGGAGAGGACCTGTGCGTGTCATGGGGAATGACAGTACTGGCGGTACCGTCTCCGGTCGCATGCAGAAGCCAGCGAGGCCACGAGCAGCACTATGGTCCATACTGTGTGTACAAGGATCCCTGTAGTCACGGGATTTTAGGAATTCATGTTGATTCACTTTATTTTGGTTGGGCTTCCAGATGCAGGCCAGCATGATCTATGTTTGGTTCTCTGTTACCTGATATGAGTCTTTACTTCTTAATAATAAATTTGTCCTCCCTTCCTTCCCTTTTCCTTTCCTTTCCTTCTAGTAAAACAAAGTCCTAGCTAATATGTCTTCATGGCTGTTTTACCATTGAAATAATACAGAAATAAACTTTCTATATCACAGATCAGTCAGCTTAGCAGAAAGTATAAAGTCAATGAATCTTCAGCCAGAAGAAGATGACATTCCATGGGAAGTCCTGCGAGACAACAGAGACTTAAATGTTTTCTTCAGCTGGGACCCAAAGGACAGGTAACTGGAAGTACCCCTTAAGTAATTTATTTTTACACAAATATAGTAACATGTTTGTTGTAGGGATCAGAAAATATAGGGAAGCCAAAGGAAGAAAATAAATCACACCCTATGTTGGGATTACTGGCTAATCTAAAAGTGAGATCTTCCTTCACAGCATATGGAAAAACAGATTCCAGATAGATTAAAGATTATATGTTAAAACTCCTTGGAAATTCTAGGCGAAACTATAAAAAATTTAAAAAATGGTTGGGGGAAGCCTTTCTTAGCACAAAATCAAATCTGGAAATGTAAAGGGTATGACCTCTATAAATATTAGCCTTCTAAATAGAAGGAAATTTGTTTACAAGTTCTAAAGGTATGGGGTTAATTGGTGAATTTCATACATATTAATATCTTTCATATATGGAGAGAACTCTTAATCAGGAAGAAGAATATTAAAAAACAAATTGGGCAAAGAGTTTAACAAGAAGTTCAAAGTAATGTATCTTACAGTAATAAAGATTAAAAAAAATTGGACAAAGATAAAAGGAGTAATACTTGTACTCAGCAAAGTTTTGGGGAAATGGTTGTTTTGCATCTACATGGGAATAAATCTTTAGATAACCATCCCTAACCAAAGAATTTTAAAGATATGCATCAACATTGAAAATGCCATATATTATTTAGTTCAGCAGATCTGCTTCTAGGAAAGTGGAACCTAAGGAAGTAAGTGCCCAAGCATGCAGAGATACGTGTATGAGATAATTGGGAATATACTGTGATTTGGGGGTTGCCAAGACCACATGCAGTGATTTGCAGGCACTCATGGGACTCAATGTATAGTTGCACTCACAGCTCAAGTTTATTACAACAACGGGATACATGACATGATCAGCAAGGGGAAAGCACACAGGTGGAGTCTGGAGAATTCCATGCACAGACTCCCAGTGCCCTCTCCCTCCTGTGAGGGGCCATACCGAGCATGCTGTTTCCTCCAGCAGCGAAAAACTCAGTAATGCGTGTGCAGTGGGTGTTTCTGCTCAGGGAAGCCTGTTAGAGATTTGGTGCCTGAGGTTTTTCTCATAGGGTTGTGTAGGCATCCTCTGTCTATCTCTGCATGTACCAACATTCCAGATTCCCAGAAGGGAAGCAGGTGCTCACCGTAAACCATAGGGTTTGTGCAAACAGCCTAGGCCCCGTGAGCCACCCCTGTCATTTAGAGAACGGTTGGAGTGCCAAGTTCCCAGACCTCAACCAGGGCCAACCTTGCAAGCAGGTCCTTCTAAGATAGTAGCCTCAGGCTTGCTGTGTGAACCCTTTCTTGCACACACTGTCATGAAAAGATGCAGTTTGGAAAATAATATAAATACCGTGATCCCATTTTATTTGTTTAAAGTATTTAAATATTTTAGGTGCATTTTTGTACATCTATATTGCAAAAATCTGAAAGGCTATATATAGACCTGTTAATATTGTGGGTACTTGGCTATCAGGGCATGTTTTCCTTCTAATTTTTACTTTTCTGTCATTTGATTTTTTTCTTTTTATGTCATGTATTTTATCATCAGAAAAATAAGTCTCACTTAAGGGGAAAATGACCTGTTAAGTGGGTTGTCATTCCCATTTTATGGATACTGAAATGGGGACTTGGGTGACTTTGGCTTGTCTAAGATCACTCAGCGAAAGTTGGGACCATTCAAAGGTGTCTTGTCTGATGAAAGTGAACTTTGAAAGATTTAAAGGCAACACATTAAGTAAAAAGGTTGGTTTGGTTTTTTTTTTAAAGGGATGTTTCTGAAGAACATAAGAAACTGTCCTTGGAGGAGGAGACCATGTGGTTAAGAATCCGCTCCTTAACACTGAGGCTGATCAGTGGACTTCCAAGCCTGAACCACCTTGTGGAGCCAAAGAACTCGGAGAAGACCACTGAGAATGGCGTGTCCTCCCGGATTGATGTTCTTCGTTTGCTCCTTCAGCAGCTGGAAGTGGCCCTGCAGATGGGAAAGCGATTTATTGAGAAGGAAATTCAGGTATCATCATTATGTATTTACCATCGAAGCTGCAATAATCTCTGACTGCCTTTTTAAAAATAGGAGTTTGGGGTGGGGTGGAGTGGTGAATAATAAAGAATGGTGTTTTGTCCCAGTTTATGGCATCTGGAGGAGAAGGTGAATATTATAGACTCAGAATTACAGAGGCTTCCTCAATATCCAAACTGTATGTGAGGAAAAGCAAAATAGCTTTTTTTTTTTTTTTTGTGATGGTAAATTTTTAATAGCTATCAACAAATTAATACGGTGTTTCTATTTTTACCATAACAGTTTAGTTATTACATTAGTCCCCTTTTATCCATGGTTTCACTTTCCACAGTTAAACGTTTACCTGCAGCCAACCACAGCCCAAAAATATTAAATGGAAAATTCCAGAAATAAACAATTCATAAGCTTTAAATGGCTTACCGTTCTGAGTAGCATGATGAAATCGCACGCTGTCCTGCTCTGTCTGGTCCCGTCCCACCCTGAAGATGAATCAGCCCTTTATCTGGCATATCTATGCTGTATACACGACCTGCCCTTTAGTCACTTAGTGGCTGTCTTGGTTATCAGGGTTTCATGGTGCTTGTGTTCAAGTCATCCTTATTTTACTTCCTAGTGGCCCCAAAGCACAAGAGTAGTGATGCCAGCAATTTGAATATGCCAAAAGGAAACCATAAAATGCTGCCTTTAAGTAAAAAGGTGAAAGTTCTAGGCTTAATAAGGAAAGAAAAAAAATCATATGCCGGGGCTGCTAAGATCCACAGTAAGAGCAAATTTTGTATCCACAAAACTGTGAAAAAGGAAAAAGAAATTTGTACAATTTTTCTGTCGCACCTCGTACTGCAAGAGTTTTGGCCATTAGTGCTTTTGTTAAGTGCTTAGTTTTAATAAGTTAAGATGGAAAAGGTATTAAGTTTGTGGGTGGAAGAAATGAACAAAATACGTGTTCTGAATGCTGGCAACATTTTGCTCCAGAAAGCACTGAGCCTATATATGAAGACTTCAGCAGGCGTCCCCTGACATGAGTGACAGTCACGTAACTCTTTTACAGTATGTTGTTATAATTGTTCTATTTTATTACTTATTGTTAATCTCTAACTGTGCCTAATTTATAAGTTAAGCTTTATTCTAGGTATGTATGTATAGGAAAAAACATAGTATATTCAGGGTTTGGTACTATGTGGTTTCAGGCATGCACTGGGGTCTTGGAACATGTCCCCCACAGATAAGTGGGGAGGGCTACTTACAGTTTGCCGACCAGTGGTTCATAACTTAATCACCAAGATAGATTTTTATCAAATAGTTACAGTCCCTTGTTTTCTTATTTATGAATTTAAAGAACATCACTTTTGTTTCTTTTTTTTCCAGTATCCTTTCCTTGGTCCTGTGCCTACCAGAATGGCTGGATTCTTTAATTCTGGCTGTTCTCAGTGTCAGACCAGTTCTTTTTATCTTGTTAGTGATATTTATGAGCTGGATATTAATGGTTTAGGTAAGTGTACATTTGCATGAATGTATTTACCCTGTCTTTGTCATTGCAACATTGCACTTAGGAAATGCAACAAAATATCTATAACCTCACTTATTTGGAAAAATTTGGAAGAGATTGAAGCTGTTCTGAAAATGTCTGGTTTAATATACAAGAAAGTACATTCACAGGTTATAAAGTCATGTTTTAGAAGCTTAAGTCTTTTCCATGCTTGAAATCTTGTTAGGTTCAAAAGTTGAAGAAATTCTTGATTTGTTGAAATATTGTTGCATTTCAGATTGATTTCTGTACTTAAAAATGAAGCCCTTTGTGGAGAGGAGTTTTATTTTTATATATATATATATTTTTTTTAATTTTTTTTTATAAGCTCTCAAATCAAAGAGTCACAAATACCCTATAGACTGTGGCTTTTTTTTTCTTCTAAATCATGAGGTTTGTAGCTCCTGTCATTTAAAGTATTTGAAACACATTCTAGTTCTAGAGAATTTTAGATAGTGCTTTTGGCAGAAGGTAATTAATACCTTCTTTTCCTTTTTTTTCCCCCTTTTTCCCTTTCTCTTTCCTTTTCCTCTTTTTCTTTTCCTTTTTTTTATCTTTCTGTCTGTCTCTCAGTAATAGAATTTAGGCGCCAATGGGTAGTAAGAGAAAAGAAAACGCTGTTGCCCATGAGTTGCTTGCAGGTACTGATCTTGCTTAAAAAAAAAAAAATAGATATGAACATTTTTTTTCATTGTTTTTCAATTTTAGAGGATACAGTGGAGATCCAGGAGCGAGTAGAGAATAGTCTTAGGTCTTTACTAGAACAGTTAAAAGGTAAGTGTTCTTACTGTGGATTCCCATTTTGTAACTGATTGATAATGGCTTATTTTTAAAATAGAAACTTGAAAGTAATGCATACTTTTGGTATTTTAAAGACTTGTTGTTAACTTTAAAAAGCTTTCATTTTAAAAGTAGTAGATACCTATTCTAAAACAGTACACAAATGTGTATGGTCTTCCTGCCTTTCCCAGCCCCATTTCCCCAGACATAAGAACCATTAACACTTTGGAGTCTGTACTCCTAAGATACCACCCAAACGTTTTAGCCAGCCATACATGTATCTATGGAAATATATGGTAGTGATTGTTTTTAACATGAAAAAGTATAATACATGCTTTTCTGACTTTAATTTTTGGTTATGTTGGCTGTCTTACCACATCATTTATATACCAGGGGTTCCAAAAAAATGTGTACACATTTTAAGAGATGTTATCTATGCTCAAGCAGTAGTTCGTTGTAATCAGAAGTGTCTGGACCCTGATGGTAACCACTTTAAACACCTCTTGTAATTGCAGAAGTCAAACATGACTTGTATTCATCTTTTGTTATTGGTATATATTGAGTATTAAAATTAATACAGTTTTTTCCTTTCTTAAAATGTGTATACATTTTTTTTGGCACCCTCTGTATATACTCCATTTGTTTTAAGAGCTGCATAATATTCTACAGTCTTGATATTAGTTTACCAAATTTATTTATGTATCCCACATCAAATACATATTATGTACTTGAGTTATTTGTAACAACATTTATAACAGTGTATTTATAACAATGTTGAAATGACATCTTGAGACACAAGTGTGTGGGTACTTATTTGAGTATTTTCTTTCTATTAAATTCCTAGAAATGGAATTCTTTGGTAAAAGGATACACATAGGCATTTTAAATCTATAAGGGTCTTTCTTTTTAGGAAACTAAAGTCTTTTATTTCATTGCCCAAATGAAGAATGAGAATTAAAAGATGATGCAGATTATAAGAATTAAACGTGGTACTTGTTATGAAGGTGCATTTCTCCCATTCACTTCAGTCTTTTAGTCCTTAATGGCTCGAGTTCTTTCACATCATTCACTTGGGGTCTTAATTATATTGTGCCAATGGACTCTCTGTGGAAAGGTCTAGCTAGTGTTTAGACCCTAGAATATAATTTATAAAGCCACCTTTTATATTTTGAAGACAATAGAGCACTAGTCATGTGGCTTTATAAAGAGCTTAAAATAGATATTCTTTGGTGTTTGGTTCATTGTGGGGGAAAAAGCTTTCTAGATTAAGTTTTTATATTGGGTTGTCGGAAATGTCATGATGTATTTTTTCTGTTTTTCATTGCAAAAATGCGTCATGACTTTTCCGACAACCCAATATTTGCTTGTTCTTTAGTAGATTGTGCATTGTGTTCCTAAAATTAGTATTGGAACAAAACCTGAATGAAACCATGAAATATTTTTCTGTTTTCAGATGTCTTCAGTAAATGTAAAGGTGACCTCTTAGAAGTTAAAGATGGTAACTTGAAAACACACCCTACTCTTTTAGAAAATCTAGTCTTCTTTGTTGAGGTATGTTTTGTTCTCTTCCTGAAAAACTCAATTTCCCCAAATTGTATGCAGGATTAATTTTTCAAAAATGGCACCTTATACCTAAAATTTAACCCCTTACCCCTCCCTACCTTTTGTTAATTGAAAAACAATTCAAGTCATTATCTGAACCAAGTCGTTCCAAGAATACCAAAAAGATTTCCTTCATAATGCTTAGGTAAAACTTCTTGAAATTGCTTTCCTCATCTCTAAAGATTCCTCAGATTCATTCCAAATTTAGCTGTTTTATGTTTATTTTTCTTTTTGACTCAACTATTATGCAGTTTAAATTAATCCCCCTAGCTTCTTTTGTTTGTTGTTGCTGTTTACTAGTTACTGAGAGTCTGCATTATGAAAGGGAATCCAGGACTTAATATAGCAAAACTTGCTCCACTTTTTTAGCAGAGAGGAGGATCACAAACACTCATAATCCAGTGTCTTTCCTTTCATTTCTGTCGCATATCTGTTTACTTTTCTTCTCCTACTAGTCTGTAAGCTTCCTGAGGGTAGTGTTCTCTGTTCTGGTGACTGGCACATTATAAGTGCCTAAGATACACTTAACTGAATGAATGAGTGAGTAATAATTGCACATACATGTACATGCACACACTGGAGCATAGGAGAAGACGCGTAAACACTTAATACAAAACAGGACATGTGCCAGCCAACTGGGGAGATGTCTCCATATATATTTAAGTTAAGGTTTGCAGGTAAGACAGTATCTTACCTGGCTAGAGAGGTGGGTGGTAAAGGGCATATTGTAAAGAACCTTTGGAGTCCACGTCTAGGAATTTGGACTTGTCACTTGAGTGAAAAGGATGTTAGATTCCCACTTCCTACAGGGAAGGGAAAGGAAACTGGATTGAGTGGAGGATGGGAGAGTGAGAAGTAAGGATAAAGATTTCAGCTGTTCCAGTATTTTAAGCAGGAGCTGATGAAGGCCTGAATCAATGTGGTGATCATAGAAATTAGTCAGCAGAGATTTGGGGAGAAACATTGAAGGGATTTGTGTAGAAGTGTCAATTTATTTAAACCATTACATTTAACTGTTCCAGATAGGTATCTTTTTATTTTTTTATGCTGAGCCATCCTGTCTTCTGTTGGCAGCTCAGTGGAAGCTGAACTTTGGCCCATGTGGGAATCGAACCAGCAGTCCTGTTGCTCAGAGCTCGCACTCTTGAGCGAGCTCTTAACCAACTGAGCCACTTGGCTGACCCTCCCCAGATAGGTATCTTGAGTGTAATCCTTATTCTTGAATTTGTAATTTTTCCTCTTTCAGACAATTTCTATTATCCTTTGGGTGTCCAGTTACTGTGAGAGTGTCCTGCGACCATACAAATTAAATTTACAGAAAAAGAAAAAGAAGAAAAAAGAAACCAGCATCATCATGGTAATAACAGACAAAACACAAGTAATAATCTGACTGCATGCTGCTTTTTCTTTTTAGTTTTCCTGCATGTTGTAACAGACCTTAGCTTATATGATGTAAGCATGGGAAATACGTTTGATAATCTTTCAACTTTTTAAAAATCTTCTTTCCAGCCACCTGTTTTTACCAGTTTCCAAGACTATGTTACTGGGCTTCAGATTTTAATTTCCAACGTTGTGGATCATATTAAAGGGCTTGAAACACATCTAATTGCACTTAAACTTGAAGAACTTATTTTAGAAGACACTTCTCTCTCACTGGTAAGAATATAGGCGATCAACAATAAGATATATAGATATTCAGATGTTCTTATCTTTATCACAAGGACACATTAATTTTCAATTCGTCATTCTCCCCTTATGGGAATTGTGATTAGAAGGCACCTGCAGTAGTAGTTTGTGGTGGTGGTGGTGGTGGTGGTGGGTTACACTTCTTTATTTCTCCCTGCCCCATCCCTTCTTTCTATACTTTGTGGGGTTGTTCTTTTACTCTGAAAACTAACGATGAATTGGCAGGAATAGAATTAGTGCTGTCCCTGTTTTGAGCACCAGAGGAAACCAGCCATATTTTTGCAATCCAGGGGCAGTCTCTTTAAGTGAGAACTTACCTGCTGCTGGGTTGGCTGGCTTCTTTACCACTCTAGCAGTTATCACCTGGAACAGGAAAGACGCTGGACATCAGCAATAATTGTATCAGTAGTAATTAGGCTACAGCAAGTCAGCCAAAAAGGGAGTGGAACCAAGTATGGGATCCAAGGGAGCAGTCCTCCAGTTTCTCCTGGTAATTATTTTAGGCTGGTTTCTTAAAATTCCCTTAGCAAAATCCCTGTAAAGTCTTGGGTATAAAATGTGGATTCTATTAAAAAATAAAATAAATCAAAGCTTGCAGTCTGAAATAGCTGAAGGTTTATGGTGTCAGGTGAGTTAACATTCCATCCTGGTGCAGGTGTAGGATTTTGGTAGAGACCAGAAGGGCAGTGGTGGGTCCATCCGTTTCTAGTTAGTTGCTCTAGTGATGAAAGTCCGATCATGAGCAATACGCAATGCTTCCATTGAGTATTTGTCTGTCCTAAGCCTCTGCTGATGAGGGAGCTCATCTAGTAATCTGAAGGCAGCCATCGTCTTAGCCCCAGACTTGCCCAGGGAAGGAAAAGAAGGGAATCTTGCTTGGCATAACAGCTGAAAAAGATTGCAAGCCCCTCTTTTGTAAAGCTTCAACACGTTAGAGCTTTCAGCTAGGGGCTTACTGTGGGAAGGGGCTCAGAGCATTTAACATTTCCAAAGACTGGATAGAGGAAGCAGACGTGTGTTGAGGTGGAAAGCTAGACGCTTGGTTTTAGCCAGGTAACCTGTATATTCAGCTGCTTTCCTATGTATATTAGATTGAATATAGACTTCAGTGGTGATTAGAAATACTAATTGCTGCATTATTTAATCTTTAGTATTTTTGTCTTCCTTTTTTTAAGCCTTCCTTTATTTTGAAAAGTAAAATAATTCACACGGTAAGAAAAAAAATTTTTAAAGTATAAAGAAAGATAATATAGTGAAATGTCTTCCTCCCATTCTAACCTATTCCCTAGTTCCCTTTCCAAGAAGGAATCACAATTATCAGCAGTTTCTTATGCATTCTTCCTGAGTCAGGCAACCCACCTACAAGCATATTAAGGTATTTCCCTCCTCCTCCCAACCTCTCACCTTTAAATATGAATGATAGCATCCTATACACATTGTTTTGTCTCTTACTTGTTGTACTTAGTTTCTAGGGGACCATTATATATGAGTAATTATCTACTTTATTCTTTTTAACTGTTCTGTAGTATTTCATTATTTTTTTACACAGAAATGTTTGTTACAAAAGAATTAGAAAATAGAGACTAGCACCTCCCAGTTCCCAGCCTCAAATCAGTGCCGGTCCCACCATCCAGAGCCATCCCTGCCTTTCCCCCTTCTGTATCCCCTAGAACACACTTGTACCTGCCGTTAGCCTTTATGATTTCAGGGCATTTGTGTACCCAGTAAAGGCCTAGTAATTGAATCCTAAAGAAATAGGTACATCCCAGGTAGGATTCTTGCCTTCTCCCACTTGAATGGAGCGACACTTGTTGGTCCTGTTGGAACACTTACATATACAAAGAAATCTGGTAATTTGTAGTAATAGATTTGGAGGTGTTTAACTTTTTACTTTTTAGACCAAATCTAAACTTATTCTTTATTCTGAACTCATCCCCTTTCATGAATACTATAGAAAAACAAAAACTCAAAATTATAGTACTTATTCTCACAAAAACAAAAAGATCTTGAAGGTCACACACTTGAACAAATGCCACATTGCTTCATGTGGTTGGGCTTTGCTGGGTATCTTTGAGGTTTTTAATAAGTACATACAAATTTATTGAGCTTGCTGTTGTTGGCCTCAAGGCCTGTAGAAATATAATGACCAAAGACCTGGCTGTAGAGCTGCATACAAATTTCTTTTAAGTTGGAGATATGATGTAGGCATAAAAATCTGAGCTACCGTTACCACAAAAATAAGACCTAGCCGGAAAATAAGCCCTCGCATGACTTTAGGTGCCAAAATATGGCACCTTGGCATACTGAATATTTTAAGCTGAAGGAGTTTGTGGAAAAGGCACCCTTCTCCCTGAAAGAGGTCATGAAACCCTCATGTGAGGGGAGCGTGCCCGCCATATCCTGGAGGAATCATGCTAGGCCTTCTTCTCTGGCTAGGTGTTATTTTCGGGGCAACACAGTAGTCAAAATGAGTCACTGGAGAGGGGACATTTGAGGATTAATAAGTTCTCACCAAGCAGACAGAAATGGATGGAAGGAATTCTAAGCAGAAGGAGGCAGACAAAAGCATGGAGGCAGGAAAGTGACCTGTGTGAGGCACCATTGGTGTCGGCGGAGCCCAGAGCATGTGGTATGTGCGAAAGACTGGGTGCTGAAGGTGACAGGCACAACAGCCTTGCTGCTGTGACTGTGAGTAGTCGTTCTTGTTCAAAGGTTTATCTGCCTTCTGAAATTGGGAATAAGATTTCTCTTTTTGAGTATTCTAGAGGTTACCCTTAACTTTGGGCCACGCTCTAGATTTTCCAAGCCCTGGGCCCATGCTCCTCTATTGACCCTGGGAAAGTCGCTTAACCTTTGGGCCTCGTTTTTGAAACAACTGTTTAGTATTCAAAATAGGGATGCACCACAGCCATAGGACATTTTAGGTCGTTTCTATAATTTACTTTCACATACAGTACTGAATGCAATGTATTTGTACATACTTTCTTATGCACATTTGTATTTCTAAGGTAGATTAGGTCTCAAGTAGTAGTATTGTTGGGGCCTAAGATGTGCTTACCTGGTTGCTTCTGGGCTTTATAATACTGCTGACTTCATGTAAACCTAACTAGTTCTCAGCCAGCCTCATTTCTGGATTTGAACATCCATCCCCTTTATTTTTTGTGGTATCTACCACAGGTCAAATGAGCAGCAGATAGTGTAGGCTTAGGAAAACTTTGGGGTTTTTTTAGTTTTTTGGCATTTGGAGCCCAGGGACTTTCCAGTATGGAGGGAAACCTGTCAATATTGTAACTAAAAAAGATGATACTGGTAAATTGGATGCCCTTAAAAAGTGGCTGTGATGATGTCCAAATTAATAAATTTCTGCTTTTTTTCTAATGAAACTCATAATCAGACATCTCAATTGTTTTACTTTGTACTCATAATAAAGAGTGATTTTATGTCCAAACTATTTAGTAATAATTTTCTACTTATTTTCTTGATCAAAACTACTAATCAGAAATGTCAGGTATTTGGGGGCTTTATATGACATAATAAAGGTTACTTGAAACAATAATGATGCTAAAGTAATAGGGTCTTAGTGAAAAATGACATGGAAAAATGTACATGTGTGATGGCTTGAGCCTTCTTTGCATTTTATGAAATTGAAAATGGTCCAGTCTATTCTGATGGAGCTTGCAATGAGACCAAAGGTAATGGTAATTTTAATTTATACCTGAGGAAATGTAATCCAGGGGAGTGCTTTATGAGCAGGACCACTAATTCTTGTCTCCTTTGTAGGAAGAGAGAAAATTTTCAAAGACTGTGCAAGGGAAGGTGCAGAGCAGTTATCTGCACTCACTTCTGGAAATTGGGGAGCTGCTGAAAAAAAGACTTGAGACCACAAAGAAACTAAAAATTTAAGGAAGTGAACCACAGGCACTGATGACTCGATAGCAGAACATGACATCTTCCCAGGCAAAATGTACATCTGGTTGACCATCATTTTAATCCAGAACTTCCTCATAAAATGCATGAAGGACTTTGATCGTGAATTAATTTTTTAGGTATTAAATGTATACAACTGATTAAATTATTGTATATATACCCGAAGCAGGACCCTCATATGGGTTTGACCACTTTTTATACATGTTCATATGCATATGGCAGCCACAAGAGAACCCCACTTTTCTTCTTCTCTTCTATCACCGGAATCATCTGGTGTGGGGAGGGTCCTATAAAAGCAGCAATAGAAATTAAGCATAAAGCGTCGACCTCAGAGCAGCTGAATGGCCCTTCCATTGTAGCAGTGGACATTTTGTTCTGGTCCTTGAGCCTTAGGAAGCAAAAAGGAGAAGTAGAGGGGACCGTGACTGGAAGCAGGCCCTCTTTCCACATCAGCAGTTTAGTTTCGTGGCTTCCTCAGCTGCTTCGCTCCCACAGAACCCAAAGCAGGTACCCAAAGGGCCTTAGATGCAATGTGGCCTGAGCACCTGCCATTGAAGGGCCTCACTCAGACAACCACAGGTGCTCATTTTGTGGCTTAATCGTTCCTGTAGCCCCATCCGAACCCTGTGAGATTTACAGCACAGACAGGCCTCTGCTAACTTACAGCTGTTAGGAGGGAAAAGCAGTGCAGACCACTTACAAGCCTGCTGAGGACTAGCTTGCTGTCTTTCATCCATTTGGGAAAGATGGGAATCACTTTTAAAGAAGAGAGGTGTACATAATTTATGCAGGCAAGTCTAATACCAATGTCATTGGTTTTGTGAGATATATATATATATATATGTATATGCTTTTACATATATATATATTTTCAAGCATATATGTGTGTATATATGTATATATATATATATATATATATGCTTGAAAATAAAGATATAATACTGTAGTGGGTTTTTTCGTGTGTTTTTTTTTAAGGGGGGGATTGGGAAGGAAGGAAGGAATGTATATTATGGACTTAACCTAGGTTTTAAGTTTTAGGCAGGCAAAAGAAATGTTATCCATCATTGGGTTGGAGGTTCAGTTTACTTTCTTCAAACTTGAGAATTTCACCAGATTGGTGTTTACATTCTTCACCTGGAGCTTCCCAAGACTAGATAGCTTCAGAGGTAGGTCTGACAGAAAAGAAACATTGCTCTTGAAAATGTTACAGTTTATACAATTGCTTTGGTAACTTTTTTTGTGTTTGAATCTGTGCTTCTGTTTTTGGTCTTTGTTATCCAAATACTGTTCAAGTTAGTGATTTTGTAAGAGCAAAGAAATGAATTTGATGAAGAAATTCAAGCGTCTGGTGAAGGATTGGTCTTGAAGACCTTAAAGGTCCTTTCCAACTGACTTCTCCAGTGAAATGTGATACTGTTTTCTTTCAAAAGCAACCAAAAGAGAGCTTGGAAAGTCTCTGTATGCAAAGGAATTGCATTTTGTCTCCTCATGTTGACTTTCTTAGACTCCCAGTTTGATAGGGTGATTAATAACTGTTTAAACTTCCAAGGAAATATTTTAGAAAAATGACTATATTACCTGTTCAAAATAAGACTTGTTGGAAATCCTAGTCCATCAAATAATTTCAAAAAATTATTTTTGATGTAAATTAGTAGCCACAGCTGTCACACCCCATCCCAAAAGGAAGAACTGATGAACAAGATGAACTGAAAATTCCGATTGATTCCAAATGTAATTCAATGACAACATCATCATTTTGTAAAACTATGGCGTACATGAATTTTGTGTATGTATGGGGGTGGGGGTATATGTGTATGGCATGTGTTGTTGAAATGATGTTTCTTTGAATGTCCAAAAATACTGTACATAGAAATAGAAATGCTCTTTGAAACAAGTCTATCAGTTGACCATGATCAATCTAGCGTATGTGTGTGTGCTCAGTGGGCTGGCCTTGGTCCTCAGGGACAGTGCATGACTCCAGTGGTCTACCTACCTAGTCTCTTCCCAGGGGCATCTGGGACCTCTACTAAGAACTCCAAAGGTGGGTTTACTTACAATGTTACATCGAGGTTATGCTTCCTTTGTTACTTGCTGATTTTCCTACTAAATGTAGCATTTCAATTAGATCCAACCTCTTATGTTTTGAGGAAATTGTAAAAAGAATGAAATTATGCAGAAATAGCCAATATCTTTTTTGATCTGTTCTTTTGGAAACTGTCATGCACTATAAATTGTGTACAGTTAAAAAAATATATATATATATATATATTCTTACATGAGTAAAAAGCACCCTCTCCAGCAATCGTATGTCACTGGTATTTGAAGAGAATTTCCAAATAACCCGTTGCTGCTGCTGCTGTGTTTGGTTTGTGTGGGTTTTTTGTTGTTTTTGTGTGGTAAATTGCTATTTAAAAAAAAACAAAAATGAAAGGAGAAAAAAAAACACGACTACTGTTTACAGACTGAAAAATTACTGCTTTTTATACTACTGAGATCCTAAGTTAAGACTCTCCAAAGCAAACATTTGGTTTAAATCATTTATCTGATGTGGATAAAAGGTAGAGAAATTTTTAGTGTTCTCCACGTAATGAAAAATGTACAAACGCCTAGCTGTGTTGCCCATCAATTTTGTATATTTTCATAATTTTAATTGTTTAAAATTGCATTATATTTTGCAATCACTATGTTCAATCTGGATTTGTCTTTCATTTTAACTTTTAATATAAAAAGGGGTTTCAGTGTTATCTACGGCCTTGTTATTGAAACTTCCTACTTATTTGATGTGATTTATTAAAATGGGAAGTATATATTCTTCCTTCTTCAGAATTAAGCATAGCAAGTCTACTTTAAGCTGGATGGGTTAATTTATATAAACACTTTTATTTTAAGTTGGCATTTCTGCCTGGTTCATTTTTGTTCAGATTTCTAGAAGCCACCTTTTAAATGGTATAATTCATCTCAATTTTGTATTGAGTGTTACATTCCTCATCAAGATAATATTTGTGAATTTAAAATTTATATTCCAAGGCCATTAGCCTTTTTGTTTAAAAGTAGTACTTTGCATGCTAGCATTAATTCAACATATATGTAATGAGTACTTATTTACTATGTGCCAGATTCTATTTTAGATTCTACTGATATAATGGTAAATGAGACCATATATCCTAGTTAGTGGCTGAGGTGGGGAAAGTGACAATAAAAATATTAGTTTGTAATTAAGTCCTGTTTAATAAAATAAATCAGGGTATGCCATAAACTGGGTCATGAGAGGACCCATTGAGGGGTGCCGTCTGGCCTGAATGAGGAAGAATCAGCCATGGAAAAAGAACCCAAGTGCACAAGGCCCCAAGGCAGGAAACAGCTAAGCATGTTCCTGTGACTGAAAAATAAAAGGCTCAAGTGGCTGGGACTTAATGAAAGGAGTGGAAAGGAACAGGGATTGAGATAGAAGAGCTGGGATCAGAGCAGTAAGGACTTCGGAGCCAAGGGAAGGAGTGAGATTTCTAAATTTAGTGGAAAGTTAAGAGGATTTTAGACAGGCTGATGACATGATTTATCCGAGGATGTGAACTCACAGGCCGATGATATCAAAAGTTTATTCAGACACACAACAGTGGAAAGAGGAGCTGTTTGTTTTTCCTCTCCTTGTTTTTGTTCTAATACTAACTGCTCTTATTTGAGCGCTGAAAAAGTCAGTTTTTACCTGTTTCCATACCAATGGTTTGTTTTCCTTTAGCAAAAGTGGGTACCTAGATATACCTTAGTGCCATTTTAAACTTTTCCCCCCAAGTGGGCTCAGGGTTATACTTTTTCATGTTCCCCGTTTTTTAGATGCTGTCACTGCCTTGATGCAGACATGTATTTCATACAAGCAAGTGTTGTATCAAATGCTTATAAAAATTATTTGTGGGTTATCTAAAGTAGTTTATGCTGAGCACAGAGCTTTTTTTACGATCTCCCAGCGCCCCCATATTCCAGTAAAAGTGGGTCCCAGATAATGTACTATTTTACATATGAGAAAAGTAGTTGTTGCCTACAAGGTTACTACTTAAGACCACCCAGGGGGGTAAGGGTTGAGTAAGATTTGAACTCTTAAGTATTGATGAAATGAGCTAAAATCCAGACCCCCCAATCTCACAGTCTTAGTCTTGATGGCCGTGTTCAAATTCCCACTCTACAATATCTTGGTTCTCTATTGAATAATCAATCTTTCTTGATGCGATACTAATGCCAACTTTTTTTTTTTTTCCAAAGATTTTTATTGGGGAATTGGGGGAAGGGGAACAGACAAGTTGCTATTCTTTTCTTCAGTCTAGTTGTGGAGGACATTGCTTCACTGGCCCAAGTTGGCACCATCATTGCGCTCTTCCCAGGAGAGGCACATCAGTCGCCGGCTTCTGGACGGCCGCTCACAGCGGCTGCTGGCCTATCACGCTGGCTGCTGGCTACACACGGTAGCCCATGGCAACTCACTGCAGCAGGGGCTGCAGCCCCGCCATCGCAGTCCAGCTCCAGGTTGAGCTGCTGTTCAGCATCTTAGCTGTAGAGGGCAGTGTCACTGGACCTCATATGTGGGATCCGAACTGGAGCCCTCTGGCATCCCAAGCCAGCTCTTAACCAACACGCCATTCAGCAGGCCCAGGAAAGGTAGAATTTTGTGTGCACATGAAACCACTTCACTCTTCAACTAGAAATAGGGCTCATCTTTAATGAAACACATTTGATACGAGCCTCTGACATATAATCTAGTCTTGCCCAATAGCCCATGTTTCTTCAACTGAAGAACGTGGGCTTATAATGATCCCCAGCCTGGACCCATCCAGTGCAGTACCCTGGATATCACCACCTTTCATTTCTCTCACAATTGAGATGAGACCCCATTCAGGGACTGTGGATACATTTAGTTTTCGAGTTCTTTCCCTATCTGCCATTTGTCTTACTCTGAATTCCCATAAGATAGTGAATACTTAGTTCTTAGGAAATGATTGTTTCAGATACATAAAACTAGAACAGCTAAAACAAGTGTATCAGTGAGAAGCATTGAGAAAGATCTCCCCAAATTTTTTTAGAATTGAAATAACGAGTAGAGGAAATAGTGAAATTGTTGGACCAAATATATGTATTCTTTTGTCAAATGCTGAGAATATCGATGCTAGTTACAAGCAGTCTAGGTCTGAACATCTTTTACCTAGTTGAATTGTTAGCCTAAGCGACCACAGTTATTTTTGTTCCATACAATTCAACACATAAATTTTCCTGCATATTTTTTTTTGTTGTTTCCAGTGACTTTAAATACCAATCTGGGTGAAATGAAGGAACATAAACAACTTACGATTTTATTTGCCAGCTCCATCCAACTTAAATTTCTTTTTCTTTTTCTTTTTTTTTTTTTTAACTGAGCTATCCTGCTACCTGTTGGCAGCTCAGCGGCTGCTCAGCTCGGGCTGGACTCGAACCGCTGTTGCTCAGAGCTCAAACTCTTGAGCGAGCTCTTAA